GTCCTGTATTTATGCTTTGTTTTTGTTTGTTTGTTTGTAGCTTAACTATTTTTAAATAATGATTTTTAATATTTTTTAAAGTTTGTTGTATGAACCAGTGTTTAAAATGGATGAGAAGTTTAAAAATCTCTCTAATAACTTAGCTGAATTGCTGCTTATTTGTTGATTGTCCTCTCACCTCTCATTTTTGGCCCATGATCTTCAATTTAAAAACTGGACCAGGTGGTGCCATTTTTACTTTTAATATAATTTAATATTTTTAGAAAGAGAAGATTTTCCTAGCAAGGTATTTTAATGATTTTCTTCAATGTGTATTTTCTATTATAGACAGATTTTTAAAAATGTATTTAAACTTTTTTGGGGGGGAAGACTTTTTTGAAATAAAGCAACTTTGCCATGATTTTTGAAATGGATGCAATTTTGTGTCTGTGTTCTAGGAGGTAATAAAGATTTTTGTTGAAGACAACTTAACATTCAGTTTACCTGTCCAGTTCCGGCAGTCAGTGCTAAGAGAACTCTTTCAGAAAGCTCAGCAGGGGTAAGTAAGTGAATTACTTTTTGATTTTTGAATGAAAGAGTAAGTGTGCATTTCCAGTTTATCAAAGACGTACCTCCAAATTACCTGTATGTCTGTGACAATGCTTTCACTTTTGTTAGTATATAAGAAGTTAACATGGCCAGGGGAGCTACTTGAATTTCCATCTAATCCATTTTAAAAGCACTTGGGAGAGAAATTTACATAGTAGAGTTTGATTCTGTTACCTAATCTGTAGTTAAATTGTCCCTTAAATTTAAAACTTTTCTGTTCTTTTTTCCCCCACTCACTTAGGTATTTACTTGTATGCCTGAATATCCTAAAATCTTACCTCTCAAGAATACATGACTCATTCTTATGAATTTAGTTTTGTAATATATGCCTTTCTTTTATTTAAAAAAATTAGTTTATCTGCTTTTGTGTTCTACAGAAATGAAGCTCTAGACGAAATCTGTTTTAAAGTCTGTGCCTGTAACACGGTCCGTGATATCCTGGAAGGTAGAACAGTTAGTGTTCAGTTTAACCACCTATTTCTTAGGCCTAATAAAGAGAAAATAGACTTTCTTCTCGAGGTAAGACATTTTTTTCCTGTTTTGATTTGTAATTTTGCTTTGAGTTTACCAGTGACCTCTTAGTTGCCAAATCCAGTGCCCTCTTTTCTGTCTTTGTGTGACTTGCCTCCCTGGCTGATAGTCGGTACAGCTGACACACTGTGCTCTCCTGCGTGTCTTTCTTTGATTCTCCTCCATCATTGGATTTTCCTTAGTCCTCCATCGACTTCTGTTTTGCTCTCTCTTTAATGTTTTTATTTGCAAAAGTCTTGTCCTTGCTCACTCAACTTCTCATATTTTTCACTCTAATCCTAAACTTCAGCCACCTGTTTACTAAAAACACTCCGATGGTACTTCTTGTGTCTCATATAAGCTCCAGAATCTGTGTTTCTACTGGATCTTTCTTCCTCTTTAATAGTCTTTAAGTCACAGACCTTGAGAAAAGTATATAAAGCACAGTTAATACCACTTAGTTCCAAAGATACAACACTGCCAGCATTCTGGAGGCCCTTCTCGTGCTCCTCACCAAACTCCCTCTGCCTCCCCTTGAGGAAACCACCGTCCTGCTTTCTGTGATAATCATTTCCTTGCTTTTCATGAGTTATATCACCTTTGTATGTGTCCTTAAAGAATATTCTTTAATATGCCTGTTTTGAACTTTACATTAATGAAATCATACAAAATAAATTCTTTGTCTTTCACTTAACGTATTTGTGAGATGGTTTTCAGGGTATGTGCAGATACAATTCCACCCTCCCCCCCATTGCTGTAAGGTGTTACACATTATATGACCAAGGTACAATTGACTTACTCATTCTTACAGTGATGGACATTTGTGTTAATTACAGTTTGGGGCTATTGTGCTGCTTGGAACATACTTGTACATAGATCTGGTGTGCACATGTACCGTGTGTCTGCTACATTTCCTGGAGAAGGTGTATCTGCAGTGTTACTGTACAGTATCAGAGTGTTTTGCCACCAGCATGTATGAGAGTTCTCATGGTCAGAATCTTTGTCAGTGCTTGGTGTTGCAGATTTCCTAACAAGGTCATTGTTCAGTGGTATCTCATTGAGGTTTTAATGTCCATTTCCTTCATTACTGAGGAACTTAACAGCTTTTAATTTATTTTTGCTATATAGATTTCATCTTTTGAGGTAACCTGTTCCAAGTGGTATGCCTCATTTTTCTGTTGGATTTTTTTTTTTTTTGCAGTTTTTTAAATATATTTTGTCCTTTGCCAGTTTTAAGTATTGCAGGTATCTTCTCTGAGTTTGACTTCTGTTTTAACTTTATTTTTATTATTTTAAAAGCCCTTAATTTTAATATAATAAAATTTATTAATCTTTTCTGTAAAGGAGACGATTAGTGAATTTCTGTGTCTTTAAGAAAGCTTTTCGTATCCTGTGGTTGTGAAAATTGTCTCATATTTTATCGTCTGAAATCTCTAGAGCTTAGCTTTCCTTTCACATTTAGGTCTTTAATCCACGTGTGATTAATTTTTGTGCATAAAAGGAAATCAGGGGTCTGATGTCATTTTTTTCCCCCATTTGTTCCAGTACCATTTATTGAAAGTTCCATCTTTTTTTTCCTACCAATCTCCAGTGCTACCTCTGTCGAGTGCCAAGTGTCTGTGCGTGTGTGGCCTGTCTCTGGGCTGCATTCGGTACCACTTTTCTGTTTGTTTACCTGTGTTACCCATCAGTATCCCTGTCTTGTTGGTTATGCGTGTCCTTTTGCATTTTCTTGTAAACAGTAGAGTCAGATTGTCAAGTTCCACCAGTAAGTTATGTTGCTTATCAGTAGTTAACACACATTCCCTAAGTTGTTCCATGACACATGTACAGTGTGTCTCAGTATGTTAATAATCTATTATGAAAGGACATTCAAGTATTTTTTAATCATAAGATCTTACACATGACAGCAAACTTAATTTATATAGTGGGGCAAAATTATTAGAATGTAAACATTGTGCATACTCTGAGATGCTCAGATGTGATATATACTAATAGGGTAACCTATTCAGTCAGTATTTTGTTCCTTTTTATAGCTGAATAATACTCCACTGAACGGCTATACTCTTCAGCGTCTATTTTGTGTGTCCATTCATCAGTTGCTGGACTTAAGGATTGTTTCTGCTTTTTGGCTGTTGTGAATAATGCTGCTACAAATATTGCATAATTTAATTTTTGTGTCAGCATGTTAGAGAATATTTGACAGTTTCTTGAGGTTAGGGACTTCTACACTAATAATTTTTTTGACTTGTAAATAATATGTGGAAAGGAAGCCTAATATAATAAACTCAAAATAACATTATAAGAATATTATTTTTAGAGAACTAGTACTTTCGTGGATAGTTCCTGAGACTTATTTTCATTGTATATTTTTTAAACCTTTTAACATTCTTAATCATTGGTTCTGTGTACTTTCACTGTTATTATTCAGTCTTTTCAACTAAGATGAATCTTTGTCACTTTTCTGACAGGACTACTGATTCTTAAAGTTTATCACTCCATATAATTTGGCAACGTAACTTATAAATTTCAGCAGGACTAGTTAGTATGCTTAGCAGATTATTCGTTACTACATATAAGTACCTTGAAATGGGCACATTCTACTCCCTCTTCCCGTAATAGATTCTTATTCTTTGGTCTCAGCTCTTAAATTTCTGAAATCTGTGATAAATGTTTGAAGGGAAAATTTAGTTGTTTTTCAATCTAACCTTTTCAAACTGTAGTATAATTATTTAAAAATACTCATATTCAAATAAAAATTACTCAAATCCCTAGGTATGTTCAAGATCAATAAATTTAGAAAAAGCTTCAGATTCTTTGAAAGGAAACATGGCTGCTTTTCTAAAGTAAGTGCCTTTCTTTTCTTTTTTCCTTAACTTTGAACTTAGTGAGAAAAATATCTTCTAAGTAATACCGTTTTGGATTTGTCCCACATACCTTATTAACAAGGCAATAGCTGGTATTTGAGAACAGTTATGGTTTAGAAGTGTGTAGCCACACAAAACTTAGGGTTCTCAGTTATTCTTTTTGTATAGTGTGGCACTGAAATCACAGTTTTAAATATGGACCAAAGAGAGATTTTAAATCTACTTCAAATTGTTGTGCAATTTATGAAATGGTGGCTTTTAAAATGGTTTCTTAATAAAAAATTGGTTAATATGATTGTGTTCCCCAAACTAAAATTATACACTTTTTTGTTTTGCAATATTTCTTACGGATCTAGGAATGTGTGTCTGGGGTTGGAAGACCTGCAGTATGTTTTCATGATTTCTTCACATGAGCTTTTCATTACATTGTTGAAAGATGAAGAACGAAAGCTACTTGTTGATCAGATGAGGAAGCGGTCCCCTAGAGTAAATCTGTGCATTAAACCTGTAACTTCATTTTATGACATCCCAGGTCAGCTCTGCTAGCTCAAACGTTGGCGCGTTTTGCCCCTCAGTGTATTTGAGGATGCCCTCTTACTTGTTTCTGTTCACACTTATGCCGGGAATTAGTAGAAATTTACCTGTCTTCTGTAGTCACATTTCTGTTTAAGTTGTTAAGTCTTGGGACTCTGCATAGTTAATGGCGATTTAGGCCTAGATACATAAAAGATTCCAGCTAGGGAAGCAGACCTATGAAACTCTGCTGCTGTTCTTCTTGAAGGTGAAAAACAAGGGGCGGGGGGTGGTTGAGAACAGAAAAAAGGTGCAGGCTTTCCTGCATTTCAGCCTGTGTCACTGTGATACTGTCTGCTGGCTAAACATTCAGCTTTGGCAACATTGCTGTTTTTGCCTCATTTATTAGATGATTTTCTTCCATTTTTGTTCTTATTTTATAAATGTAAGCAGAAATTACAGTGCTGCTCGTTAATAAGAGATACAAGCTATAAAACTTAATACAGGGGAGGTGGAGAGTTCAGTTATTTAAACAAAGCCAACTTTTAGCTGCTTTGAACCTCACCGTATTTAAACTGATCTGACTGTCCAGTTGTAAAAGAAAAGAAATAATATTAATACATATAAAATGCTGGAAATGCATTATGGAAGACTGTATCTGAAAGCTGAGTTGTAGTTAAGGATTTTAATTATCATTTCTTGGTTCTCTGGGAAGACAGGGGGCCTCCTCCTCATTCGCTCCCTTCAGAAAACACATTCTTAATGTTTATTACTCAAAATTAACATTTTTTACATGCTTTTAACATGGTGTGTTCAAAAGTACGAGACTCTGTGTAAGTTGAATTTTTCCGTATATACCACATAATTTTTTCCATGTACCAGTTAATTTATATCTGTTTATATTTTCAATATCTTTATTTATTAAATGCACTTACTTATTAAATGCAGACATAATACAAATTATGTTAGCCTTTCTCTATGAAGTTAATACATAATTTGCACTATGTTGAATAAAAGAGTTTTCAGGATGAGAGATGCTTTTAACTTACAATACTTAACAAACACGCAGTTTCTCTCAGTAAATTAGCATTGTCATATTTATAGGATTATGTATATTTTTGAATCAAATCATTATTGAAATGAAAATCTCTTCTTGCTTTCTTAGCTTCAGCAAGTGTTAACATTGGCCAGTTGGAGCATCAGCTGATACTGTCAGTGGATCCCTGGAGGATTCGACAGATTTTAATTGAATTACATGGTATGACTTCAGAGCGCCAGTTCTGGACTGTGTCTAGTAAGGTAAGAAATCTTATGTCAGGAGCAGATAAGAAAATTACCCTTGTTTTCTTATGTAGAAGAGCTGTTCCCTGACCTTTCTGAGAATAAGAACCCCTTTTATTTGTCAACAGTTCATCAACACTGTGAAGGACCTTCAGATGACGGTCATTGCACTTTGAACACCCATTGACAGAGAAAATACTAAATTTCCTAAAAAGATACTATTAAATCGGTAACAACTAAAAATGAGTTTATATTCCATTTATTGTCATAGCGCCTACATGCATTTTTCAATACAGCTGTCAATATGCGTATAAGGTATATTATTTATTGCAGTTTGTAGCTAATACCTGCCATGTGCTTATAGAGCATTTTTGGTTTTGTTTTTTAATACTCTTTTGGAATCTGAAGCCTACAGTTTAGAACCACTTCATTAAAATGTCTTTATAGGACATTTTTGGCTTTAGATATTCTTTTTAAAATGCCAGGCTAATGTAGTTACTTGTTTCTGAAATTGTTTATTTAAAAATTTTCCTGCGTGGAAAGTGCAAATGAAAATAGCTTTTAAACATTTCATTGGACTGTAGCTGGAGATACTAGGAATAGGCCCTAGACCCAGGTGAAGTTAAAGTTGTGTGGCAGTGCTTCTGATGTAAATGCACGTTCCTCCTCTGCTGAATGTGTAGTAAGAAGCAGCCAGAAATTGACCTACATTGTGGGGTTTGAACATGCAAGTGCAGTGAAATGAAAAATTGCTCCAAACCTTAGTTGGCCATTGTTATTCGTGTTCATTTTTATAGGTGAGGAAGCATAACATAATAGTTGAGAGAGCGAGTTCTGGTACTGACTGCCTGCGTTTGGATCCCAGATCCATACTTTACTAGCTGTATCATCTTTGGCAGGTTATTTAACTTCTGTGTACCTCCGCTTGCTCATCTGAAATGGAGATAATAGTACCTACTTAGTACTGTTGTGAGGATCCTATGCGTTAATACATATTAAACTCCTAGGAGTTTTTTCCTTCTTTATTTCTACAGACTATCCTTCAGGAAGTTCTGGTCCATTTAATCTTTATTACTAGCTCGTTACAGTGAATATGTTCATTTTGATCAGCATTTCATTATGGCTGTCATTTTCCTTTTTCTTTAAAAAAATGACCTCTGAGTGATTCAGATTTGGCTTTGTGTGTGTGTATTTATGTATTTTCATTTCTTCTAGTGGGAAGTACCTTCTGTCTATAGCGGTGTTATCCTGGGAATTAAAGACAATTTAACAAGAGATTTGGTTTACATTCTAATGGCCAAAGGTTTACACTGCAGTACTGTTAAGGTGAGTAAAAGCGTCCATTGACCAGTGGTTAAGAATATGCTTTATTAATTCAGCATGAAGCCAGGAATCGGAATCAGTTATGTTTTCATGATTTTAAAATCATAGTCATAGGTGTTTTGGTTTATTCTTTTTCCTTTACCCTTATAACTATACAAAAATGGTTTTGGACATTAGGCTATGACTCTATTTCTTTAAGAAAAGTAGAAAACATGAATAGTTATTTGTATTCTTTAGGATTTAATTAGTAAAGATTATATTCCAAGCTTAAAAAAAATCCCAAAGAATCTTTAAAATACTTTTGTAGACTTGATGTAAGGAATTTGTAATCTATTGGGAAGTAGAGAGGGCTGGAAATACAGATTTGGAAATCATCAAAGTTCCCCCTGGGAGAATATACAGAACCTAGGGGATCCAGCACTGGGTCCAAGAAAGAAATGGACGGCACTGGGATGCAGCCCCGAAGTCCAGTAAGGTAACTGAGAGGTGTTCAGAAGATTGTGCAGTTAGAAGGTCTTTGTTTTGTGAGAGCTGTTTCTTCTTCCTGATGCCCGGTGGGATAGAAGCAAGAGGTAGGAGTGAAGGAGGCATGTGGAGAGAAAATGAACCAAGGCTACTCTTTGGAGAAATTAGAAGGAGATGTGTGGGAAAGGGCTTGGATCATAGCTGATTTGATTTATTTACTAGTCAGTTACATAGGCTAATAGAGTTGGATGCAGCATTTTAGAATGTGGAACCTTGTTGACTGATGTAAGGTCTAATTCTATGTTAGATGGGCAAGGGTGTTTAATTACAGAATTGTATACCTGTGTAAAATATGTATATAATATATTTATATAAAAACTTCTGTTTTTGTTATTTTATAATTTATATAAAACTTGTTTAGTAATATAGTATGTGTATTATATTGACTTATTTTTTTTAAATTACAAAAGAATTAACTATTATAATAAATAAACAATGCAGAGATGATAAAGAAAAATATAGTCTAGCTTCACTCCCCAAGATTACCAATGTTAACCATTTAAATTCTTCTCTTCCTTCCTCTGCACTTATAAATCCATTTATTTTTTTAACTTCAGAGAAAAGGTGATCCAGGCTATTCTGTTATTTCTTTTTATAGGACTTTTCCCATGCTAAACAGCTGTTTGCTGCTTGTTTGGAGTTGGTGACAGAGTTCTCACCCAAGCTTCGCCAGGTCATGCTAAATGAGATGCTGCTTTTGGATATTCATACGCATGAAGCTGGGACGGGGCAATCCGGAGAGAGACCTCCCTCCGATCTTATTAGTCGGGTGCGCGGATATCTGGAAATGAGGCTTCCCGGTAAGACAGTTTCACAAGGCCAAATTTCAGAAATTCAGTACTCAAATAACAGGGGGAAAATCTAAAAGAATTATTTACTAGACTTTTTTACCACCTAAGAAGAAATTATTTTCCTCTTAAAATAATTCAGATCTGGTGTTCACTTGAGAACATTGGGGAACATACAGGAAACTGTTAATTTCCTAGGATTGCCATGAATAAGTATCAGAAATTTATTCTTTCACAGTTCTGGAGATGAGATGTCTGAAATCAAGGGGTCTGCAGGGCCGTGCTCCCTTCGAAGGTTCTAGAGAAAAATCCTTCCTTGCCTCTCCCTAGCCTCCGGTGGCCCCTGGCAGCCTTTGGTGTTCCTGGGCTTGTAGGTGCACCCCTCCGGTCTCTGCCTCCTTCACATGACTTTTGTGTGTGTGTGTGTGTGTGTTTCCTCTTGTAAGGGCACCAGTGCCCTGATTTGCTGTGACCTCATTTTCATTCAACACGCTACAGAAACTGTATTGCAGTTTTAAGATACTCTGTTAAAACAATCAAAATGTTCTGGAATCTCAGTTTTGAAGGTTTATTTCCTCAGTGCTGTTGTAGACCTCAAAATGATTGCTGGAGGGTCGGGAACTCACTTGTGTTCGCTTTAGGAACAGATTTTGCCTGTCTAGTTGGAAATGTAAATATCTCAGTATGAAAAGGGGCTTATCATAAGAATTATAGTCTGTATTACGTATAAATCTTGCTTAGTTAAAGCAGTTTCTTGATCTTACTTTTTTTTTACTATTTTTTTGAGTTGTAGTCAGTTTACAATGTTGTGTCAGTTTCCAGTGTAGAACACAATTTTTCAGTTATACACGAACATACATGTATTCATCGTCACATACTTTTGCCGTGAATTAATTTTACATATTTTAATAACAGATATTTAGAATAATTAAATCATACTGTACACATTTATGTACAGTATATACATAAACTGTAAATAGTAAAATTGAAGCATAAAGAAAAATGCTAATAATGTGCCAAAACAGATGGCTGCTGGCCCTGTGGGGTCTTTTGAATTAATTTAATTGTTATTACATTGTGGTTTCTTGAAGAATTGACAACTTTTTAGCAGTCTGTAGATGGAATACCTTTGAGCTTTAATGCATCAGTGCCCTGCAATATCAAAAGAATTGATCTAATTAATATATACCAACAGTCAGTGGAGGTAAAAAAAAAAACACAACTTTTTTTTAAAGGTTGAAGATTGGTTTTTCATACATGATTTCTCTAAAATGAAAAACAAAGAATTTTAAAAACCCTAACATGTGTTAAGTGCTAACTAGATGTCAGACATTATTCTGAGAGCTTAGGTACGTAACTCATTGTCTCCTCATGGCAGCTCTGTGAAGTAGCTTCTTTAATTATCCCCATTTTGTAAATCAAGAAACTGAGGTTAAGGAATTTGGCTAAAGTCACGAAGTGAGAGACAGACTGTTTTCAGCTTATTAGTCCAGCTTAAGCCTGTGCCTTTCACTCTTTGAAATGGTTGGAAATGGCTTACATGAGTCTGGTCTCTTGGTGCCGCCTTTTTGGCGCTTGAGTAGTTTGGAGTTTACATCACTTTTCCCTGCCCCCCACCCTTTCCTCCCTTTTATCCCTCCCTCCCCCCCCCAACTTACTGAATGTTCATCTGCTTGTCCCATAGTTTGTGCTGTAAACAGTGCATAAAATGAGAAGGGAAGGATGTACTGTTAGGGGAACAAGAAAACGATTGAACCCCACTCTCTAGGTGCTGATTCTTCTCTGAGAACCACTGAGGACTCACTAATGAGAACTAATGAGGGATGCCCGGTGAATAAAGGAGGCCTTGGAGCTGAAAGCTGTGTGGCCTTCCTTTGGCAAAGTGTACAGTGCGTAATGCACAGTGACATATGTGCATTGGGATATTAAATTCCCTTCTGTCTTTCCTTTTTTAAGAAGGTGATAATGTATTTTTATTTTATTTTGCTGTGTTCTTAGGCCTATTTTTTGTCGTCTCCAGTTGCTTTTTGGAATAGTGAGACATAAACAAATTAAATAGCCACAGTCGCAGTCTTGTTAGAAAGACTGAAAAATATTAGGTACTCAAGGAGTTTAATAGCTCTCTCCATTTTCAGTTTTCATGTTGTTATTTAGTATTTATTGTGTTTCTTTTTCTCTTTAAATATATTAAAACCTGAGTGTTAAATACTTTGAGCTACAAAAATGCACAACATATTTAATATTAAGGTATATTTAATGATCATTTCAAAGGAAATAATGGTCAAACAATTCTGAGTGATATTTTTCCCCATATCTTTTATTTAAAATGGTCCCTGGCACAGTAAACACCCTTTAAATGAGTGAGTTATTTGTTGCTTATGAATATTCATTACATTTTAATCAGGAAAATATTTTTAAATGAATATGTTAACTCAGATTTATTAGTTTTATATGTGGTTTACTGATTTCTGAGCTCTAAATGTGCTAGAAGTTTATACTGTACCATTATGTGTTTGTGTTGTTTCATGTGGTTATTCTCTGCTCATTTGAATTATAAATTTGTGGAGACTAGGTACCAACCCTTAGACTTCCACAGCAGAGTGATGGGCATCTTAAGATGTTCTTACTAGAGAATTTTGTTGATAATTGTGAGGACTATGGCAGTTTATTTCTGGGAAATCATAAACTTTCTAGAGAAAAGTATAAAATGTGAGTATTTTTCTGTTTTTTCATCTGTGATTGTCAGTTTGTTCAGCTGAAATCTGAGCAGATGCTTGCTCTGCTCTTTTAATGTCACGTTGGTAATTCCAGCCACTTTCTTCTTTGCTCTTCAGACATTCCTCTTCGTCAGGTTATTGCTGAGGAGTGTGTTGCTTTTATGTTAAACTGGAGGGAAAATGAGTACCTTACGCTGCAGGTTCCTGCACTCCTGCTTCAGAGTAACCCGTATGTAAAGGTAATTCATGTTTAATCTAAGGAGGATTGTTAGGTTGGAATTACTGTACCAGTTTCTTGAGAGCTATGCTCCTTAGCAAGCTTTTCCAATTTCTAAGAAACAGTGTAAGATTGGACAAATGCATACTGGTTTGTAGGTAAACATGGTTTTTGGTAATTCAAGCACTTGAGTTTGCCCTCTCTACAGTTTTTTTTCTCATACGCTATAGTTAGGAGAATGCAAGCTAATATTATTTGGTTAACAAACAACATTTTGGTATAATCCTGAGCTAGTGAGAGGTCAGCCAGCCTTTCTTGCTCTCATTGATATAATCGAACTCCAGTTTCAGCTCTGGAATACCCAGGCCTGCCTGGGTTGAACTGGGGGAGCCGTCAGGGATATGCTGCACCTGTTTTTCGTTTGAGCATCTTACCCTTTGTCAGGGCCTGTTAGACTCTTAAGTTGAAGCCTGATTCTCACTAATGTGCATGTTTGTTGTCAGTGGTCATTTCCATGTGACAGAAGTCATTTGGTGAATTGATGGTGAGTTATTTGTTTATTCTCCTTCCTTAATTACATCTGTTCTGGTCAACTGGAAATGCTTCTGGGTGAAGAAAACATCAAAAATAAAGAGACTGGAGATTTTCCCTCAAATTCTGTCTTTCATGTGTTAATATTATGTTTACCCTGAATAAGCAGTGAGCTTTTCTCCCTTTCTGGCCTTATTATTTAAAAAAACAAAAGATTTCATGATTTAGCATTTTGTGCTATAGGTTTGGTCCTTCAGATTTTTTGTTCCTTCCTTGGTGCTGTATTACTTTTTGTTGTCCTCCCCGCCCTCATCTCTCCTTCAGTACATCGTCTCTTGAACTGGCACTTCTCTGGGAGCCTTGTAAGACTGTACCAATTCTTTACATTGTCTTTGGTTATTTGTTTCTTCCTCCTTATTTCATGTATATTTTTTAAAAAACTGAGCTCGTTTCAACTCTTTGAACTCTTACTGGTTTCTTTTGTTTTTTCCTACTTTTGGTCTTCTTTACAGTTCCTAAAAATGTATTTTTGTATGTGAATCATCCTTCTCTTTGGAATTTCAGACACTGGATTATATCTGTTTTTTCAGTGAACTTTCTGAGACAACAATTCCTAGTATCTAGGTTATCTGTCTGATTATGCCCAACAGTCTCTTAGTCTTCAGTAAAGTCTCTGATGAGAGAACCGTCTTGTTTGAAGATAATCATTTCCACTTAGACTCAGTCACAGCTCACTGCTCAGTATTGAGAGGGTGCAGTAGCTTCTCCATTCGCTGCTCTTAGCAGTGACCCTTGTGTGGCTGAGCGCCGGGAGGCGGCGTGCAAGGGCACAGGATGTCGTGATGCAGGTTGCCTAACCTTGGGCTCAGTTACTTCGCTGCTTCCTGCGGTTCCCCCTGATCTGGCCCCAGGGGAGGAAGGATACGTGGTGACCTTGCTGCAGAGCCACTGAGACATCTCACCGTCTCATCCAGATTAGGATTTTGTGTGTCTCCTTCCCTGGTTGGTCCCTTGCTTCCTTGTTAATGTCAAAGAGAAAGGAATCAGAGAAAGAAGTCCAGAGTAAGGGATTATGTTTTAAAAATTACACAATTTGGAGCAGCTTCCAAATTTTGAATTCAGTGCAGAGTATATAAACCTATGCATAGTTGAAGACTCTGAAAGGATGTTAACAGTCATTATTGCTGGGTGATGAATAAAACTAATCAGTTTTATTTTCCATTCTATTACATATTATTAATTTGAATGTCTACTAATTATCGCAAAAAGGAAAGAAAAAATCTTAAGCATGTGACCAAAATATGACCTTTTGAAACAGTAAAAAACTGTCCCGCCTCTCCCTTGGCTCGGCATGGAGGTAGTATAGAATACTGGAAAATGCGCAGGATTCGTGGGCACTTGGAGTATAAAAGCTTGACTAGTACGGGGAGGAGGGGAGGCTGGTGGTAACGGAGGTAATGGTGTAGGACAGAGACCACGGCTTTGCATATGGCCCGCGAGGCCTTTTAAGGTGTGGGAGCTCCTTCCCGCCTTCGTCCCCTCTGCTGCTCGTCCTGCCGGCTCTGCCTGCGGTGCGGCAGCGCCCGTGGGTCCCTGCACACACAGTGCGTTCTCTGCACGTGCCTGTGTGGGTGCACTTAGCCAGGTTGCCCTTCCCACTTTTGCCTGATTGTGTGATTTCTTTGAAGCTTCCCATAATTCCTTTCCCTGCAGCCTTGCTCCTCTTGTTACTTTCGTGCTTTTGTGCTGTGGACATGATTCCTTTGTTGTGTTTATACTGTGCAGTGAGTTACTTGTTCACCTGTCTGTCTTCCTCATAAAACAGTGAGCTTCTTGAGGACAGTTAATTTTTATATTCTTAGTGCTTTGCTTGATACCCAGCACACAGGAGATGCTCAAGAATGTAGAATTCAATTGACTTGGGGCCTCATACCTCTGAAGACTCATCCTTTTACTTAAATGTAACTTGCTTAAGGTAGTGGCGTTCAGCATGATCCCGGACAACAGAAAATGAAGTTGAGATCAAAGCAGTGCATAACATGCCTGTACTGTGATGCTGGTTGTCAGAGAAAAGTGTGTGCAGTAGGTACACAGGATGGAATGTTGTGCTAGACTGTGGACCCTTGATTTCTGTTCACACAGCAAGCTAGGGGTTTTGACATCATTTGCAGTAGTTTTAGGAAGCACCAGAATTCTTGTAAATTTTCTTAGGTGTGATCCTGAAGTTGTGATTACATAAGAAGACGTCCTTGTCCTTAAAGATACATATTGAAGTATTTAGAGGTGAGATGGGCCTGCAACTCCTTTCACATAGTTTAACAAACTGTCAGTGTAGATAGATACATAAAGCAAGTATGGCAGAGTGTTCACAGGAAGTCAAGTAAACAGGTATTTATTAAACTGGTCTTTCAATTTTTCTGTGTTTGAATTTTTTATTCCAAAAAAATTGGGGGAAAGACCACTATTTTCATCTTTGTCAGAATCCTGCCTCCTCCTTATAGAAGCCACCTTAAGCATTGGAACCCCATTGTGAACATTTTCTAGGTCCAGTCAGGGAACTGGAATTTCCTGATGGACATGAATTGTCTTTGCTACTTCACCCTCTAAAGAGAGATAATGTGTAAGATTTACCAAGAGCAAACGATCGAGGGGCCCTCTCTTGCTTTGAAGTTATAGAGGGAAAGAAAGGCTGGATTTGGCGTATCAGCCCGTTTCTTTCTCTGCATCTTGGGCCTGCCTCTTGCTCTCAGCCCTTCCGCTCTTTATTTCTGGGTCCCTACACCTTTGGTCCTGAAGGCTGCCTTCCTTCAGGTAGTCACTCTCAGTAACCTTCCCTTCCTTAACTCTGACCTCCTTGCATCAGCAGGAGCTGCATCCCCAGTTACTACTGGTTTTTTAGAAGTAGCGCTGAATCTTGTTCCTTTATTCTGCGAACTTCAGCGTCCATGTGTTTGCTCATTTTTTCATTAAAAATTTTAAAAAGTAAAGTATGTGTTTGTGAGTGAAATTTAAGCACTAATTTAATCTCATCTCTGGGCTTTTACAGTTAACACTGTAGTGTGTATGTTCCATGAGGTGGTTTTTTTTGTTTGTTTATTTTTTTTTAAGTGGGGACCATACTGTGTGTATTTATTTAGCAATTTTTTTTCAGTTAATAAATTGCATACCTCTTTGCATTGTCTCAGTTTTGTTCTCATTAGACTATACTTGTTTTTGCCCTCTTTAAAATATAATTGTTCAGAAACAAGGCGGTTTATAATGTGGTAGAACCAGAGGATCCTCTTCCCAGATCTGATTCAGATCTGTCAGTAGACAGTGAGCTCTAAATTCCTCAGTGGCTGGATGAAGGCACAGCATAAAATAACTGTGCTTTGGCTATATGGGCAATTATCCATCTTTCTTCAAATGTGCCTTAATTATAGAAATAGCCTGTATGACATTACAGATTATCTTTTGTGTATTTTCTGTTTGTTTTTCATGTTACAGCTTGGACAGCTTTTAGCAGCTACATGCAAAGAACTTCCAGGCCCTAAAGAAAGTAGACGGACTGCTAAAGACCTTTGGGAAGTTATTGTTCAAATCTGTAGTGTGTCCAGTCAACACAAACGAGGAAGTGATGGCAGAGTTAGTTTAATAAAGCAGAGGGAGTCTACATTAGGTATAATGTATCGGTATGTTTCCATCAGTTTGGGGTTTTTTTAGTTATTTATACTATTTGTACTATTTCAAGAACTTTATCTACCATTATCCTTGCATATCGTAAAGATGGACCGTGTAAGAATTCTCTGGTGCCGACCCCTGACGGACTTGTCTGGTGTGGCCACCTTTGGAAATAGTTTGTATGTGTGTTGCTTTAAGAGACTGCCTGTTAATCATTTAAAATAATCAACCTGAATTCAAAAACAATGTCTGTAGTTAGATAGTACTGAAGAAGTCACATGTGATTAAAACAGGAAAGAAATTTTATTAGGTTAGTACAATGAAACATTACACTCTTTTATACAGGCGAAACTGGAAAGTTAGGTATAAACTTTCACCTGCAATTTACTTTTTTGATTTTATTTTTAATTTCTGATATTAAATATATATACAAAATTTTTGTGTTTTTTTTTTAGGAGCGAACTGCTTTCTTTTATCAAAAAATTACGGGTAAGTTTTATTAAAAGTTGATTTAATTACTATTGCTGATTTCAGCAGAGTATGACTAAAAATACTGAGTGCTTAAATGATGATTATTTAACTCATTTGTTAGTGTGCTTTTCATCTTCAGTGATTTTTTTTTCTTCTTTGAGGATGGGATAGTCTAAATGGAGAAGTTTGTTTTGCATTCACCTTACAGTGTTTTAGTGAATAGGACAGGTTTTTGTTTTTGTTTTTCCTTAGTTGTAAAGAAGTCTTCCTCACAGGGCTGAGTGTGAGACCGAGCTTTGCTTTTCGCTGATAGGATTAATGTCATACGTACTTACTGGACATGACCTAGAGTCCATTCTATAGATGATATTTTGAAGAATAAAAAGTCAATTATTTTTAGAGGTAGCTGGAAGGACTAGATGGAAAGATATCTATTTACTCAATTTTAAAAGGCATTGGAGGACTTGAACACTATAAGCCAGACACCTAAATATGGTCATTTTTGTGTAAATTGTGTGTTGTGATTTCTTTCATGAGATTAAAAATAAAGTTGATCTTTAGTGTGCTCTGAACTAAAGATGATGGTAACTTTTAAAAGGGTAAGAATCTTTCGAAAGAAAATACTTTGTATCCTTGAAGTTGATAGGAAAAAGATTAAAATATATATAATATTTAAGGCTTCTCTGTTTTCTTCCTCATAGGAACCATTGGTTTTGACTATTATTTTGTCGCTCTTTGTGAAACTTCACAATGTTCGGGTCAGTATTTCATAATTTCATTTAAAAAAATCTTTGAAAGAAATTTCCTTTTAAATCACAGTGTTTTTTTTTCCCCCTAAAGGAGGACATTGTGAATGATATTACAGCTGAACACATTTCTATTTGGCCATCCTCCATCCCCAAGTAAGAAGTGTTGCAGCTTACAGCCTGTTGAATTGTTTCTGTGTTTAGAAGCCTTCCTGACTGATAGAAATGTCCCTGAATAATCTGATTAAAAGCTCTGTTAGGACTCTCCAGCCAGCTTTGTGTTTCTCTGTTACAGCAGTGATTTTCCTAAAAATTGTGGATAAGGCGTAACTCTAAGTAAGAGCTAGTTATCCTAGCCTTAAGCCAAACCGTGCAGTCTCTAAGTGGTCCTGATTCGTTGTCAGTGGTAGAATTAGAAGGCTGAGGCTCATGAGAGATGAGTTTTACCGGGTTTTTCTAGCACTGTGATTATTGGTGGGTCCCAGCCCTTTCTAGTTGCCTTAAGAAGTTATTAAGTTACTTTAAGAACTCTTCCCTCTTACTTTCATTACCTGAAAACGTAAGGATGGTGAGGGAATTTTTTTTTAGGGAGAAGAAAATTGTTCCTTTTCTGGAAGAAGTCATTTACATTTTTCTCTTTCCAAACATAGCAACTTCTCATTCAGGAGAATCTGTTTGTTTCCTCATAAACATTACTTTTTCTTTTCTCCCTTCCCCCACCAGTCATCTTCTTTGTGCCTGAAGGGAGGGTCTAGGTCTTATTTTATTGCTCTTAGTGGCATCTTTTACGAAGGAAAGATTCTAGTAGATATGTAAGCAGGCAGCAGAATGAGAGTTACTTGCTTCCATCTCAGTCTTAAGAGACTGGACACTGAGACAGGGGTTTGGAGGGCCAGAAGTGGGTGGCCACCCTCTCCTCCACTTGTTCCCAAAGGAGCACCTTGCTTCCTGCAGGAAATAACCGCAGATTTTTACATAAAATTAGTGTATAGATAGCAACCCAAGAATCAGAGGTCATTTTGCCTTTTTAATTGATGGTTATAACACCTCTTTGGTGTTAGGTTTTTGGCCTAAATGTAGACTGTAAACTGGTGATTGATTTTTTTCAGTGTGTATTTATAAATGAGGCAAAAGAATGGTTTACCATAGAGGCTCTGAGCCAGACTCACAGGGTTTGAGTCCCAGCCTCTCTGCTTACCAGGTATATGACCTTGGATTAGCTGCTTTCCGTGCCAGTTTTCTCATCTGCAAAATGGGCATAAGAGTAGTATCTACCTCAGAATCCTGAGGATTAAATAATACACTTTCTAAGCTAGGTGTTTGGAGTAAGGGTGGCCACATAGTGGGTTTAACTATATCTTCGTGATAAAGTTACTTTAATGTGAATTAACCCAGAGAAAATAAAATATGACTACATGTTTGACCAGAGAAAGTATTTCTCTCAAGCAAGAAACTTTTTTTTTAATTGAAGTACAGTTTTTGAGCAAGTCTTTATTGACTCCCAAGAATACTGTGAGAATGGTATGGATTAAGTTTACTGTTTTAAAATTGACAGTTTGATATGTAGATCGAATTCTTAGACTTCAACATTTTTAAAATTTCTAGAAAATATAATCATAAGCCAGTTTATCTCATTTAAATAGTTGTAAACAAATGAGCTGTTAGTAAAGAGTTGGGTGTTTGCTAATAGCACTACAGTCCTTTTCCACTATGCTAGGAGCAGTGGTGAGTTACAGCAAAATCTAACCTCAGGGCAACAGAAGTACTTTGTCCAAGTTCACCTTGTAAATGACAGAGCCAGGACTTGAACCTCACGTGTTTCTGAATCCAGAGTGTATGTTCTCTACCAGTGGGTCTCACTGCTTCTGGGAGGTAGGAGCTGTCAACCTGTTTCATGGGTGTTGGCCTCGCTCTTAGCCTTTTAGTTCTGCCTCCTCTTTCCATGTCTCAAGACCCAGGTTTAACCAAGCTCAGAGCACTGGCCCCATTCCCTACCCTGTTTTGGATTCTTTACTGCTACTAAATGCACTGAAGTGTGATACACTTGCCACATCTAGCCCCCAGCCTGTGAGGGCCAGTGGATCATCTAACCCAGAGCAGTTAGTTACTTTTATAAAAAGCCACAAGATGGATTTAAGGCCACATAGCAGTATTGTTAATATCTGAGCCCTTGTTTTTGTGGCTAACTTAAAAATCATGTGGGGAATGTTTATGAGTGCCCCTTTCATTTTCTTGTCTGTAAACTGTGTATTAAAAG